AAAATCTTAAAAAAAAAAAAAAAAGAACAGCATAAATTTCAAATTTAAGAGCTCCATGTATATTTAATACAAGCAAAGTATTAATGTGGCATTTTAAACAGCTCTTTTTATAAAAGACCCTATATGAGATTCTTTCTTCTTCTTCTTCACTTATTTTTGTCTTAAAATGGTATTTCTGGAGGCCTGACGATCCTAGCTAAACTAGTACCTTTTTCTCTCTCTTTCCTTATACTTAGCTAAGGTGCCATGACTCTAAACCCTGACTGAAAAAGGCTGCCACTACATTGATAGAAAAAGCCAAAAACCTTGTAACAGTCGGTGAGACTCTACAGATCAGGCCACAAACCCTCCCCAACCCTTTACTTCTCTGGCCTCCCTTCCTCCACTCTCTCTTGCTTGCTCCTCCTGCTCCAGCCATGCTGTCCTCTGGGTCCTAACTGCACTCATGAGTCACATTCTGACTTCAGGGCCTTTGCACTGGCTGGTCCTTCTGCCTCGGACATGTGTTTCCCATTTAACTGCACAGCTAAGCCCTTACCTTCTTCAAGTTTTTGTTCACATGTTACCTCCTCAATGAGGTTTACACCCACACCACCCTACCTAAAATTATAAAACTCCTCATCTTGTACTTCTGACCCATTCTTCTTCTGCTCTGTGTTTAAGTACTTAGCACCTTCTAACATACTGTATCATTTACACAGTTATATAGTTATTGTTTTAGGTCTGTTGTGTGCCTTCCACCCCAGCAAAACAAAGATTTTATTAATTTTGTTTGGTACTGCATCCCAAGAGCCTAAAACAACACCTGGTACACAGCAGGTGTTCAACAAATATTTGTTGAATGAACAGAATACATGCATGAATGCATGTAATAGGCATATCAACAGTTGTCCAAATTAATTTTAATTAAATCTCATCAATATGCTGAAAGGAATTGTTATAGAGAAAATAAATTTTCACATGCCTTGATGTCTGCATACATCTGGTTCCCTTGTCTACACTACCCTTCTTCCTCACTCCTAACACTCCTTCCCTGATTCATATACATGCTCAGCCAGACAAATTCCAATTAAATGTCACAAACTAATAGGTCTTTCAAAAACGTCATCTTTGTTAACTTAAATCATGGTTAGGTGCCCCTCCTAAATACTCTCCACGTACCTGTGTTTCTTTTTCTCATAGCCTTTCCACATGTATTGCAAAAACTATTTTTTCACCAGACCAAAATGTGAGCTCCTTGAAGGAGAAACTTTTCTTTTTTTTTTTTTGAGCAAGAGAGAGTGCGCATGTGCCAGGCTGGGGCTAGGAGGTGGAGGGGCAGAGGGAGAGGGAGAATCTTAAGCAGGCTCCAAGCACAGAGCCCGACGCGGGCCTCGATCCCACGACCCTGAGATCATGACCTGAGCTGAGATCAAGAGTCGGGCGCTTCACCAACTGAGCCACCCAGGCACCCCAAGCAGAAACCATTCTTACTTGCTCTTCCCTCATAGCCCTAGAGCTCACATCACGTAACACATGACAGGCACTCGATAAATGTCTTGTGTCAATAAAACATTTTTTTAAAAACCTACTAAAGTGAAATAATAGTGAATCACAGAAATTTACCTCTTACTTGTTTCCTTAGTTTTTCAATTTCTTCTTTTAAGGTTTTTATTTCTAAATCTTTGCTTGCTGTTAATGGACCATCAGCAGTTGAATACTGTAGAGCTTGAACAGTCTGTGTTGACTCTTAAAAAAAAAATAAAGAAAAAATGAGAAATATGGCCATATCTTAAATTTTTAAAACTAATAGCAATATATTTCTTTCTAGAGAAATCCTTACATAATTCTGATCAAAACATCCTCGCATCAACAAAAAGCGGGTAAACACATCACAATTAAATATCAAAACTCCAATGCATGTTTCTTTAAAAGTATAAAGATGTAGGAAAGGATCTGCCTACTACCATGTGAGATTTTCCATTTCAAACACTGCTGGTACAGTCTACCACTGAGTCAACAACCATTCAGCCCCCATTCATCATGTAATAACCCCAAAAACTTCCTGTGTCAGATGATGCATTAAAACCAGAGTCTGGTGTGTCAAGGTAGGTTTAGAGATTTAATACAGCTCACCTTGAACAATGCGGGGGGGGGGGGATGTTTGGGGGCACTGAACCCCCCCATGCAGTAGAAAATCTGTGTATAACTTCTGACCCAAACACTTAACTACTGAGAGTTTCTTGTTGACCAGAAACCTTATCAATAACACGAACAGTTGACTGACACATACTCTGTAGGTTATATGTATTACACACTGTATTCTTATAATCAGGTAAGCTGAAAAGAAGGAAATGTTACTGAGAAAATCATAAGGAGGAGAAAACACATTCACTGTACTGTATTTACAAAAAATAAAAAAAAATCTACAGGACCCACCCAGTTCAAACCGCATTGTTTCAAGGGTCAAGTGCATATAATATATAGAAATGCTGGCCCCCAAATTTCATGTATGAAAGTTGAAGTCCACTACAGATGACTTCAGCTCATCAATTTAGCTAAAATAGAGATTACTATTCTTGTGGTTCTAATCAGAAGATGCAAGGTATTCAAGAAACATTAACTCTACTGAGGTTTATTCCTAGATATTATCAGAAGATATGGAAAAAAGAAAACTTTAAAGAATTTTATCAGAAATGAAACCACCCTTGTTCTAAAATAGTTATTGTGCTATCTTATGGAGGGTTTGCAATAGTAAGACTCTATTCACCATAATTTTTGGTTAGTACAAATCATTACTGATTGTTTTATACTACTTATATTATTTATATGTTGCTTTATATAACATATTGCTTATATGCTTTATTACTTATATGTATTACTTATGTTTTATGTATGTGTGTATGTGTATATACACAGATACATAGATGTATATACACATGTATACACACACACACACACCACACACACACACACACACACACACACACACAAGGTCCAAAATATTGTGGTCTTCAGAGGAGGGAGATTTTCTAATTAATTTTCACCATATGCACAGAGAATAGTATCATGGTATTTGTATTCATAAATATTGGTTAATTTGAATTAAAGGTGCAAGATGTACCTATTGTGCATCCAACCATGATCTTCTACATTCAGTAAGTACTTCTTATACTTTTCGGTTTCAAAACACGGTAAGTATCAATGCATTTTGTACTTATTATCTTTAAAAGAACATCCTTTATTTATTTTAAAAAGATATCTAAGGGGGCACCAGGGCAGTTCAGTAAGTTAAGTGACCAACTCTTGATTTTGGCTTAGGTCGTGACCTCAGAGTGGTGAGACTGAGCCCCGCCTATGTGGGGCTCCATGCTCAGTGCTGAGTCTGTTTAAGATTCTCTCTCTCTCCCTCTCTCTCTCTGCCCCTATCACCACCACACGCACGCATGTGCATGCATGCTCTCGCTCTCAAAAAAATTATATATTAGAAAGATACCTAAGTTAGGAGTAGAAAAAGGAAGATACAAAAATAGCCAGTGGATACCAGTAACAGCTCCTTTTCCTCCTAGACTCCACGTCCTGCAGGGTATAGAGGTGGGTAGGCATCCTGGCTTCTCCTTGCTACTTCTGTCCACCCCGTAAATCCCAGTCAGCTAAAATGCCCATTACTCATCTGCTGAAGTTATTATCCATTGTCTTTCTTATTCTGTCTTTGACTAACAATTTCACACATTGTTCATTGCCCTTCTTTCTATTACAACCCTTTTTATTATTCTTATTAACTTTAATATCAAAATAGACAATCCACCCAACACTCTGGCTTCTCGGACACACAAATCCCCCGTGCAGACACAGTTGGGGCTTTTTACCCTCTTGTTTCTGAACCAAATTCAGGTGCACTGACAAGGTAGGCTGGCCGAAACTGAAGATGGTTTAAATCAATCATGGTGGACCCATCCTTTGTTGCCAGTACTGGTTAAGAATTAGGTATGTGACCGGGCGCCTGGGTGGCTCAGTTGGTTAAGAATTAGGTATGTGACCTAGTCAGAACTACTAGTCCCTTGAGAAGAAGTCCCCGAGGGGGCTTCCTGGAAAGGGGTAAGTCTCCTACAGATGGAGAGATGGATGAAAGGAAGCGAGCCTTCATTTGGTCTCCACATGTGTGCAGACGTGATCTGGAATTTTAGCAGTATGGGAGAATCATGAGAGGAAAGCCATGAAAATCACAGAGAAGCTAACCCCACTATCGGCACTGAAATGGTCTACTTCTGACTTCCCACATGAGATAACAAATCTGTATTATTTAAGAATTCTAGGATTTGCAGCCCAAAACAACCTAGCTGGTCTCCAGCAAAACCACCAAATCTACTGGTCACACCCTAGACCCGTGGTTCTCACCTCGTCTGAGCTTAGCAATGTGTATGTGTGGGCGCCTGGGTGGCTCAGTTGGTTAAGCGACTGCCTTCGGCTCAGGTCATGATCCCAGGGTCCTGGGATCGAGTCCC